CCAAAGGGGTACCTGCACCCCAATGTTTATATCAGCAATATTCACAAAAACCAAACAATGGAAAGAGCTGAGATGTCCGTTGACAGATGAATGGATAAAGAAGATGTGGTATATATATAGATATATATATATACACAACGGGATATTACTCAGACATCCAAAAAAAACCAAACAAACAGAAATCTTACCATTTGCAACGGTGTGGATGGAACTAGAGGATATTATGCTAATCAAAATAAGCCAATCAGAGAAAGACAATTACCGTATGATTTGGTTTCACTTATATGTGGAATTCAAGAAACAACGGATCACAGAGGAAGGGAGGAAAAAATAAAATAAGATGAAATCAGAGAGGGAGACAAACCATAAGAGACACTTAACCACAGGAAACAAACCGAGGGTTGCTGGAAGGGAGGTGGGTGGGGGATGGGGTAACTGGGTGGTGGGCACTAATGAGGGCATGTGGTGTAATGAGCACTGGGTGTTGTATGCAACTGATGAATCACTGAATTCTACCTCTGAAACTAGTAATACACTGTATGTTAATTAATTGAATTTAAATTTTAAAAAAGAAATAGTTTGCTTCTGTCTTCTGCCTCTTTTTTTTCCTGAGATATATGTAAATTTCTTCCAAACTTCAGGTTTATCTACTAGCACAAAATACAATAGACACACTGTAGGTGTGCACTCAGTCTGATTAACCTAGGAAGCAGAACTAGATTGTTCACGTCATCTTTCCACCCCATTCTTGCCCCAGACCAAAAAAACAAAACAAAACAAAAACAACCAGAGAAGCAAACAAGCATATATTCCTTTCTATTGACCCTGGCCTGTCTGATGTTCAGATTAACTGAGTAGCACCTGTCTAATCATTGCACATGTTCTCGTAAATGACCCATTTGATAAACTAACCCTAAAACAATTACAAAGGGAAATGAAGAAATCAGGAAATGTTAAATTAAATATATTAAATCAAGGCTTGCTTTACTGTTATCTTCCAATAAGCCCAAACTTTCCTTTCTTTTTTCCTTTGTTCTTTTTTTAAATTGGGGTATGATCAACATATAATATTATATTCATTTCAATGTATAGCATAATAATTTGGTATTTGTATATGTTGCAAAATTATCACAATAAGTCCAGTTAATAATATCCATCATCACACATAGTTACAACTTTTTTTCTTGTGATGAGAATTTTTTTTTTGAAGATTTTATTTAGTTATTTGACAGAGAGAGACACAGCGAGAGAGGGAACGCAAGCAGGGGGAATGGGAGAGGGAGAAGCAGGCTTCCCGCTGAGTAGGGAGCCTGATGTGGGGCTCGATCCCAGGACCCTGGGATCATGACCTGAGCTGAAGGCAGACGCTTAATGACTGAGCCACCCAGGTGCCCCTTGTGATGAGAATTTTTAAGATCTCTTTTTAAGCAACTTTCAAATATAGAATACAGTATTCCTACCTATAGTCACCACGTTATACATTACATTCTCATAACTTATTTATTTTATACTGGAAGCTTATGACTTCTGACCCCCTTCAAGCACTTCACCCACACCCACCCCCTACCTCTGACAACCACCAATCTGTTCTAGGTATCCATGAGTTCGATCAAACTTCCCTTTTTTGATATCAGCTTTATCTGGGGGCAGAAAGCCATCATGACTGCCTATCTTTGAATAATTCTGAATGGGTTGTCAAGTGAATAAAATGTTCAGAACGGACCACGCCTTCAATAATTTCCACAAGTTTGCAATTTTTCAAGTAAAGCTATACTCTGTGTCCAAATAAATTCACTTTTCTCTTCATCGATTAAGAGCCGCTTCTTTGTTCTAATACTTGGAGCTTTCGGGCTGGGAATCTATACTTTTTAGAACTCATAGTACAATATGGGCACTTTCATGATTTTTAACTGTTCTTTGACCCTTGAAGTACACTACTATTCTAGATGTGGGCTTACTTATGGTGGGCTTTGTCCTCAAATTAGGATAATTTATATTTCATACCCTACATATCCTTTAGATGTCAGGAGGAATGTTTTCCAAATGCAAATACTCCTTGCCACTGGAGCCCATATGCAGACCACCCACAGAGGCTCACAAAAGAAAAAACTGCCTACAAATTCACAGCCAGGCCTTCCTCTAGAAATTTTTGTAAAAGGCAAAAGATATGTCTAAAGAGAAACTAGAGTATTTCAGAGTTGTAATTTTGTGTGATTTGTAAATTACAGAGTTGATCTGATTTTTTTCTATTAATATCTTTTCTCACTAAGTTATACTCTCTAGCTTTAGTTGGGCTCCTGAGGGGGCAGACTCTGAGAAGGAGACAGTGGGGCTGGAGCAGGAGGTTTATTTAGCAAATGGTTTGGGGTGATAGATCCCACGGATCACCATCCGTGGAAAGAATGGGAAGAAATGGAGATTGGACAGAGGAACTGGCTTGTAATATAGTCTCAACCAAATTCTCAGCTGACTCCATGAGAAACCCCGAAGCTGAATGGCCCTTTAGGGTTGTCCCAAATTAGAGCAGAAGGGTCAGATCTTTGTTGGCCCGTCATTGGCAGGATTGTTGGCAGGATTCAGCCTGCCAAAGGAAGGGGATGTGACCACCCTTGAATGAAGTGACTCACCTCACCCTCTAAATGACTTGCCAGGGCTGATAGCTGGGGCCACGGATGTGTGACTAGTATAGTCAGTTACACAGGGATCCATGCTTACAAAGGCCTCACCCTTAGTTTAATACTCTGCTGCCTCTGTCTTAAAATTCTTCATTTAATTGCCAATTAATCATTCTTTCTTTTGCTATCTTTTTCCAAGACGTCATTTGAGCTTAGCAGTAACAGTCAATTCTATTGTCCTTACTGTTTCACTTCATATTTCTCAACTGTCTGATACATCGTGCCCACCACTGGCACCCTATCCTAGTTCAGTACTGGTCAAACCGTTTACAGTGCACCGTCATGTTGCATGCAAGGGGACATTTGTGTCCCAACTACCACCAGGCGGGAGGGTGGCTGTCTCATCTGGTAAGCCAAGTGGCAGAAGAACCAGCTCCAAAATCCAGTTCTAATATCTGCTTTCTTGTAGTGCTTCTGGTACAAGTGTCGTAGGTTGGGTTCCCTGGAAAGCAGATTCTGGGATAGAGACTGGTAGGTAGGTAGGCAGTTTATTAGGGAGTGCTCTTGGGATTGCCACATGTGGAAGGAAAGGAAGCTCCATTGGGCAGAGGGAGAATATGGGCTATGATGTAATCTCAAGAAGGCCTCAGCTGACCCTGGGGGGACGGGACCTCTGAAGCTGGATGGCCTTTCAGATTGTCCCCAGATGGACAAGGGGACCACGCTTTGAATGCAAATGTAGGCTGCTGGGAAGGGAGTGTGACACTGGGTGAGGTGATTCTCTGAGTCAGAGATCTGACAGCTGAGGGGGGTCTGCCAGCAGCGCTCCCCGGGGAGGCGAAACAAGCCCAGTACTGGAGAGGAAACTGTGTGGCGGACCACAACACTCCCCAAGAGCAGGGGAGGGGGTCTTTCTCACATAATGCAATGTTGGTCAATACTGTATCCCAGAAGCCTGTTAGAGCACCGGGCACATCCGTGTTCATCATTTATTGAATTCATATTATCATCATACTGGGCTGTTGCTATCTTTATCATTTATTCATCACTTGATGCCTATCATAGGTTAGAACTGATGCCATAAGGATGGTTGTGGCAGAATTGCCTGTCCAAAGCCTATTTGGAAAAATTCACGTCATGTGGTTAACAGGTAAGACCGATTTGATAGGTCAAAAGCCTTAGCAAAGGGGTGAACGAAATGCTATTAAAGATCACCTGCTGGTGTACCTAACACCCTCGAAAGTTCCAACAGAGGTGACATTTGAAGAGTATCTTTAAAAATGCATGTTTCCGGGGCACCTGGGTGGCTCAGTTGGTTGAGCGTCTGCCTTCGGCTCAGGTCATGATCCCAGGCTCCTGGGATCGAGTCCCGCGTCGGGCTCCCTGCTCCACTGGGAGTCTGCTTCTCCCCCTCCTTCCCACTTGTGCTCTCTCTCAAATAAATAAATATTAAAAAAAATAAAAATGCATGTTTCCTCCAGGGCCAGAAGCAGGGAAAACCTAGGCAGCAGGAAGAGTAGGACTTCTGGGCACCTTAGACTCAGATGCTCATTTCATTAGTACTGTTTTGAACTGAATTATATTGTCCTTTCCCCCACTGGGATCTCTTCTTCCAATGCCTTATGAAATTTTTCCTCAAAGTATCCTTTCTGAAGTCAGCATTTTACTGTGAAGTCTGTCATCTCTAGAGCTCATTGTGCCCTTTCTATATTCCAGAGCATTCCTAAAAACCTAAGATCGGTCCAGTGACCTACGAGCTCCTGTTTATGCCTAAACTTTGTTTCTAGTCTGTGTCGTCCTTAACCTCATCAAAAATAGTGCCTAAAATTCCATGATTTAATTGACATATACAGCTGATAATGTGAAACTATGTGCTCTTTAGAAGTTACATGCATTGGTTTTCCTTTATGATGTTTTATTCTTCTCAAAGGATTCCACTCAGGTATGATTTTTTTTTTTCCCAGACAGAAAAATACTTGTATACTTCTGCTGGATTAACCCTTGAGATAGTCAAAACCTGCCTTTATCATTTAGAGCTCTCTTGCTCTCTGAAGCTTTCCCTGAGTTCTGAAAATAGGCCTGAGACTTCCATCTACTCTAAGAGTAGCTGTATCCACTGGTGCTGGCAGAGGGACCACTGATGATAGATGGAAACATAAAAGGCAAAATTAAAATTTGCTCCTGAGGCTGATCTCCTTTCAATCACTCATTGCTTTGCTTGAAACACTCTTGTAACTGAATCAAGTGTACTGGGAAGTTTTGTTTTTGTAATTTTACTAATGCTTTTTCAACTGCTAAGTCCTACATGAGTGGTTATGTCAAAGAAATAGACAATGTTGCATTTGTTTGGAGAAAATACAGAAGGGACTCATCACATACACATTATTTGTACGTTTTTGCTTAGACCATGGGTGTTTTTTCAACTTTGACTTTGAGAAGTACACTAGATATAGGTAAGTAACAGAGCATCCACATCATGTCACTCCCAAGAATGGCTACAAAGAAGGGGCCATGGTCAGGTCAGTAATGCTTTAATAAAACGAGTGGAACCTGTTACAACAACAGCTCTTTATTACATGGATTCAAATGCACAGACCAATCATGTTCCCTGAAATTCAATAATCACATTCAATAAACGCTTGTTAGCGTGTTCCTCCCAACTCTAAGGGGCTTCCTTCGAATTCCCTGTACAAAGCCTTGCGCAAAGAGGTTAAGCACCAGTAAGAACGACTGTTGCTAGCAGTTTTGTTTCTTCGACATCTTCATCTTCATCATCAGCAACAAACATGCAGTTTCTTCCCTGTATGTACATGGCATTGTAACCTGGGTGCTACACTCTGCTTATGGTACAAAGTTTATAAATACAATATACCAATACAAAGTTGAAGCCATTAAAAAGAGCTTAATAACTACTAGGAGATCATTAAACCTGGAGTGTTGATGGAATCTATGAAGAAATTTAGAAACAACACACAAACTCAAGTGTAGTAAACGTTTTACTCGGGAAGGGGTGAAGGGGGATTTCTTATGTGCTACCGAGGGCTTTTGGGGTTGCTTCGGGCTCACTTTCTTTCTGCTATTATCTTTAGATACTGCAGAGCGTTGTGAGCTGCCTCACTCTGCGCATTGCCACAGGAGATCCCGGAACCGTGACAGACTGTGATGGGACTGGTGGAGAGTTCGGCCAGACACTGATACTGGCCATTGGCGCTCAGTTCTTCTGTAATGACACGTTCAAACATGGTAGTTAATGCCAAGTGTAGAGAATGCAGATCCTTCATGAAAACAGGTTTTTACTATAGTCTTCCTTCCTACAGTCTTTACTACAGTATAAATCTATGGTATACTACTCCACTTCCTCACCAACTTTATCATTCTTCTCCAAACGAAAACCAAAACACAACTGCTCAGCACTAGTTGTTCTCAAACACAGCTGTGCTTCCTAACCACCTGAGGGAACGTAAATGCAGGTGCCTTGGCCTCACTCCAGCTTGCTCAGACAGAAACGCAGGGTTGGGGGTGGGAGGAGCCAGATTCTTACATTTTCTTTTTAAAGCTCCCAAGGCCATTCTAATGTGGCTAGTTGAGCAGTGTTTGCAAATTGAACCGTAGCCAACTTTTTTTAGAGGGAAAAAGACCATCGGCTAGAGCACTGGAGAGAGGGTGTTTTTCACTATGAAGTCTAGGGTTACCGTCAGGAGATGTCTGAACCAGGAAATACATGGCTCAGGGCAAGACCTCTCTTTTGCCTTCATGTTCTTTCATTCTACATCTATGCAGATGGTCTAGTTCCATGTTGTATATACGGTACCTAAGCTCAGGAAACAAATGTTCTTCTCATCAACTGATGAATCACTGTCACTAAAGATGGTTAGATGACACAAAGGAAAGAGGCAGAAACAGATGAGTTATAATTTGTTAAAAGTGGCCACGATTCAATGTTATTCTGCTAGAGTCAATATAATAGGAAACCTCCAGATACAGTGGAGGTGTTTTAATGTGTGAAGAGGCTTTCTAGTTCTATCATCGAGCTTTTTTTTTTTCCCCTTTTAAATTGAGGTAAAATTCATATAACATAATCTCAACCGTATTAAAGTGAACTATTGAGTAATATTTCGTACATTCACAATGTTGGGCAACTGCCATCTCTATCTAGTTACAAAACATTCTCATCATTTCATTTTCCCAAGAAGAAACACCATACACATCAAAAAGTTGCTCCCCATCTCCCCTACCCCGAAGCCCCTCTGGCAACCACGAATCTATGGAGTAAGTTATTCTGGATATTTCATTTAAATGGTATATAATATGACCCTTCTGTGTCTTGCCTTTCACTTAGTATGTTTTTGAGGTTAATCCATGTTGTAGCATGTATCAGAACTTCATTTCTTTTCATGGTTGAATATTTAATTGCACATATATACCACAACTGACTTAACCATTCATCCGCTGATGGACATTTGGGCTGTTTCCATCTTTTAACTATTGTGAATAGTACTACTGTGAACATGTGGGTATTTGTTTGAATACCAGTTTACAATTGTTTTGGGGATATACCTGGTGGTAGAGTTGCTAGGTCATACGGTAACTCATTTGAGGAGCTGCAAAACTCCTGTTTTCCACAGTGGCTGAACCATTTTATATTCCACCAGCAGTGTGGGAGGGCTACAACTTCTCTACATCTTTGCCAACATTTGTTATCTTCTATTTTCTTCTTCACAGTAATCCCAGTGGGTATGAATTGGTACTTCACTGTGGTTTTGATTTGCATTTCCCTGATGGCTAAGAATAGTGAGCATCTGTTTGTGAGCTTGTTGGCCACTTGTATATCTTTTTTGTTTTGGAGGATGTCTAGGTTCTTTTGAAGGTAACTGCACAGAAGTTAGCCGAATTAGCTGACTGTGGTTTTTAGACTGCTGTTCTATATTTAGAAGAACAACTTAGGTCTTAAAATTGGTAAGATGTGTTTCAAAGGCATCATTAATTCATAATCTCAAAAGCCATCTCAAGTTTCCTTCTTTTCCCAGATTCAACCATCCATAGTCCTATTCATGACATGGCTTATTCATCTGTGTCTTAAACACCTAAAAAAGTGTGGGTACTTAATAACTATTTACTGAATGAATGGTCTTCCGTCAGCCACCTCTTCGGACCAGGTGTCTGTACTAAATTCCTGGTTCGGCCTCATTCTCAGTACATTAAAACATTGTACTCGACCCATCATTCAATCCTCAAGTAGCAGAGAAAAATCAGAAATTCTTTAAACACCTACACACCAGAGCTGGCAGCTCCTTTCAGCTGGGTCCCCACAGCTCACTGAGGATGGAACAAAGGATATCAAATTCTTCACAAATGACACTGATGTTAAATCAAGACACCAAACACTCGTGTGCGCGCACACGTACCACACACACACGCACGCATGCACGCACGTCAGCTTTAAAAAGCAAATTAAAATCCAAAGTGACTTGCTTTCTAATCTATCCACATTTGTCTACCTAAATGACTCAGGGCTAGAGGGGACAGAGACGAGGACAGCGAGGATGGAACAGCGGTCTACAGCACTTGTCCCCACTGATCCCCTTCAACTGGCCGACAGTGACAAAGTGGGGACAAGGGGTCTGGCCCCCACAAACTTAGTGCTTGTTCTAGAAACGTGGCTGCCTTTTTATCTGTCAAGCTCTCCATCAGGGCTGGTTTAACAGACACTGTATCTGCAGGGACACCTCCCCTGATCCGACTCTACCGCTAACCAGCTACGTCATCTCAGGCAAGTTTCTGAACCTCTCTGTACCTTCCTTTCTTTGCTTACATGTAAGGATACTAGACCTAACTTCACAGGATCAGTTTGAGAATTCAGTGAGCTGAACTCTGTAATATCCTTAAAACAGGGCCTGGTCTATAGTCAAAACAATAAATATGAGCTGCTGTTTTTTATTATTATTATAACTATACAGATGTTAGCTATTATTATTATTTATAAGAATGGGACATAGCAGTGATAAATAGAACGGCTCTAATTTTATATATATGAATATATATGTGTGTGTGAGAAGTATACACACACACACACACACACACACACACCATTTCAGTATCCCTGGTCAGTGACATAAATTGTAATACAGGCTTTGTTTCTGAAATACATTTTAAAAATAGGTTTTGAGGTAAGCCAAAGAAAAAAAATCATACCTATATCCAAATACGTTATATTAAAACCTTGTTCCTTGGCGATTTCACTAAGCAGCTGGATGTAATCTGTATTTGGAATACTGAGGAGGCTCCTTTTCAGTAAGTTGATCTTTTCGCCAGGAGAATTCCTCAAGGAATGCCAAGTACATCCTAAAGAGTGTCCTACTACATTTGTCTGAAAAACAGAGATGAAGATTAAGACTCGTAACTCAGACTGAGTTCTAACGCTATGATATAATTAAAAGTATTAGGTGCTCACATTTAATACTCTATAAAGCATGTTTAAATGAATACCACTTGGTTAACTTTCCCATTTTAAATGAGATAACACTAATAAGCACACATTTAACAAACACCGCGACGTCAGAGAAAAAAAGAAGCATATGGACTAATATACTGGAAGTATTTAAAAATACTTTTGTATGGGACAAGGGTCTCTCAAATTTTCTGATGGCCACGTTCGATGTATAAGATATTTAAAAAAAGATGTAGAAGATATTTAAGAGCAGTATAAACAAACCTGCAAATAACTGAATCTGCCCTCATGGAGCAACTTACAAATTAAAATATAAAACGACTTTATCTTTATGATTTCTTGTATTAAATACCAACCAATCACTCTGACAGCTGTGAAGGAGAAGACAAAGCAACTGTGGAAAAGGTGCAATGTACAAGTTAGGCTTGAGAAGAACAAGTTGTTCAAATGAATGGCAGGAGCTCATAAAGTTCCTACCAGACTTTTCCCAGAACCCAACAGAACTTTCTCCTTTGCCTCTTTTTATTCCCCCCATATCCTTCCCTTTCCACCTATGCTCTCAGAATGCTTTGCATTTCCATGTTAGTTTATTTTTCCCAAATTGCCTCATATATTATGTCAAAAAGCCCCACGAAACCAAAAAACAACCCACCACCCTCTGAAGTAGGGCAACGTATCCATAGTCTTATTTATTATTGAGACCGATGGAGGTTAAGGGATTTTCAAAAAAAGATCACAAGAATTAATAATCTACAAAGTTTGCTAAACAGAATTTTGTATTCCTTGGTTGGAACTTCAAAAAAATTTTTTTTTTTTAATTATAATTCAGGGGGCGCCTGGGTGGCTCAGTCGTTAGGCGTCTTGCCTTCGGCTCAGGTCATGATCCCAGGGTCCTGGGATCGAGCCCCGCATCGGGCTCCCTGCTCCGCAGGAAGCCTGCTTCTCCCTCTCCCACTCCCCCTGCTTGTGTTCCCGCTCTCGTGCTCTCTGTCAAATAAATAAATAAATAAAAGCTTTAAAAAATTATAATTCATTGATACAGTAGTTTCAATAATATATAATGAAGAACAGTCTCTTTTCCTTATCACTCCTTCCCAGAAGACATTTCACTTCCAAAAGGTACTTACTGTTAAAACTATTTCTTCAATAACCTTCTCTAATTCTAAATTCAAACACATGCACACACAATCTTTTTATTTTACTTCTTACTTCTATCTTCCTCCCTCCCTCCCTCTCTCCTTGTAGCTCCACACCCCACATGGGGCTTGAACTCAGGACCTTGAGATCAAGAGTCATATGCTCTACTGACGGAGCCAGCCAGGAGCCCCAATAATCTTTTTAAACAAAAATGATAGCTTATTCTTCTATATCTTATTTTCCTCATATCAATGCATATATAGGTACTATATTTATCTTACCAGTTTTCAATTATGGCTTTTGGGTTATTTCTGATTTCTTGGTTTTACTAACAATGTTACAATAAAACTCTTTTGCACTTGGATGACTTTATCTGTAGAATAATTTCTAGAAGTAGAACTGAGTCAAGGAGCATGTATGCTTTTAATTTTGATAAAATACTTCCAGACTGATTTCTAAACCAATTTATACTACCATCAACAGTCTAGGCGGGTGCTTGTTTTCTGATACCCTCGCCAACACCTGGGACTATCAAACTTAGTAGGTTTCATCAGTCTAAAAGGTGAAAATAGTATCTCTTTAATTTCCATGAGTGGAGCTGATTTTTTTTTTTTAAAGATTTCATTCATTTAGTTGACAGAGAGAGACACAGCGAGAGAGGGAACACAAGCAGGGGGAATGGGAGAGGGAGAAGCAGGCTTCCCACTGAGCAGAGAGCCCAATGTGGGGCTCGATCCCAGGACCCTGGGATCATGACCTGAGCCAAAGGCACACGCTTAACGACTGAGCCACCCAGGCGCCCCTTTTTTAACCATTTTTATCTCTTTTTTATTGATGTGTAAGAACTTTTTATGTGGTACTGAAAATAGTCCAATTACAGACCTGTGTTAAAAATAATTTGTTTTAATTCTTGGTTTTATTTACAGATTTTTTTTGCCGTGTAATAGGTTTTATGGAGTCAAATTTGTCAGTCTTTTATTACGTCTTCTAGGTTTTAGGTTTTAAAAAGGTTTCCCCTATGCTAAGAATTTTAAAAAGGAAAGCTCTGCCGTGTTTTCTCATACTTGGTTTCAATTCTTATGTTCAAATTTTTGATTTTAAGGAGTAAGAGAGCAACCTAAATACGTCACACACACACAGATAGATACATCCTCCCCTCCACCCCCCCATAAATGTGGCTTTGTGTCTACACTATTTACTGAATAATCCATCCTTTTGCCCACTGATCTGAAGTCTCACTATTGTCAAATACTCTGCTCCTATGGGGGTTATTGTCTATCCCTGTACCAGTACGTGTTTCAGTACTAGAGATTTAGAGTAGGTTTTATTCTCTGGTAGGTATAATCCCACCTCCTGCACTCTTCCTTTTCAGTTTTCTTGGCTATTCTGCAGAGTTTATTTTTCCAGATAAACTTGGTAAAGCTGTATTGAGATCCAAGATGAATTCTGGTAGATTTTGAGACTACATTACCTTTTTATATATTTTACAATACTGAGTCTTCCTATTGAAAATAGGTCGTTTTACATTACTTCAATTTCTGTTAAATCCCTCAGCAGAGTTTTGAAATTTTTTCCACATGGGTCTGCACATTTTAAGTTTATTCCCCAGCACATTAGCCTCTTTTCTATTCTTGAAAATGAGATCTTTTTCATTCTACCTCTTAATATTTGTAAACAGAAAAACTATTGGTTTTTTTTCCTAGTATACTTTTTTAGGACAGATTTCTATTTCGCTATAAAAGTAATCAATGTTATCGAGCTTCATAAATTTTGTTAATATAACACCACAAAAACTCAAGGAGTACAGAATTATAAAAGCAACAATCCTGAGCCTCATTCCATCCCTACATTCAGTCCCCTTTCCAGGAGCAATTTTTAACTTTCTTCTTTAATTATTCTAGTGGTTACCTTCATAATCCTAAATATGAAAAAGCTATTGGTTTTATATATTAATTTTATGATCGGTTACCTTGATGAATTCTCTTATTCTAGCAGTTTTTCTTTTACAGGGCTTTACAGAGACACAGTCATATTATTTGTAGTTAATGATCATTTTTATCTCTTCTTAATTCTTTATTTAAATTCAATTTATTTAACATATAGTGTATTATTAGTTTCAAGGGTAGAATTTAGTGATTCATCCGTTGTATATAACACCCAGTGCTCATTACATCAAGTGCCCTCCTTAATGCCCATCACCCAGTTACCCCATCCCCTCACCTACCTCCCCAACCCTGTTTCCTAGAAATTAAGCATTTCTTATGGTTTGCCTATTTTTTTTTTTTTTTTAAGATTTTATTTATTTGTCAGAGGGAGAGAGCATGTGAGCACACCACGAGCAGGGGGAACGGCAGGCAGAGGGAGAAGTAGGCTCCCAGCTGAGCAAGGAGCCGGATGCGGAAAATCCCAGGACCCTGGGATCATGACCTGAGCTGAAGGCAGATGCTTAACTGACTAAGCCACCCAGGAGTCCCCCTCTCTATTTTCATCTGATTTTACTTTTCTTTCCCTTCCCCTATGTTCATCTGTTCTGTGTCTCAAAACAACAGGGATATTTTAAAAGTGTTTATCAATGATCGCCAAATATCTTTTTGGCATCCATTGACTGTTTTTCTCCTTTGACCCATTAAGGCGATTAATTATAGTAACAAATTTACAGAACCTATCTTCGCATTCCTGAATTGCAACAGATATACCCTTGCATTCCTGAAATAAGCCCAACTTGTCTATGGTATATTATTCTTTTACTGTTGTACTAGATATTTTATTAACGTGTTTCACTATAAGGGAGATTAATCCATAATTTTTTCCATTGCGATTTGCTATTGTCAGGTTTTGGTGTGTTATGTTGGCATTGAAAAATAAATTTAGAAGCCTGCCCTACATATGTATGTATTGCCTGGAAGAATTTAAACAGCATTGGAAATTACTTCTTCCTTGAAGATTTAACAGAATTCACCTATGAAACCACTTATAAACCTATTTGTGCTTTGTGATTTTGGTGTCATCTCTGATCCAATTTTAAAAGTGAATGCAACGTTTTATGTTTTTCTATTAAGAAGGTAAAACCAAAATGTTACTTTGTGTATAGTCTTTGATTTTTTTTTTTCCTACAGAATGAGCCCTTATTTTATTATCATCAACTAGGACACTGCTATAGCCCTCACTTCTCATGCCCCACCTAATAAATCCTCAGATAATGTACCACGAGATGTACCTATCTATGAATATCATAATCTCAAATAATATGTTATGTATAGCTCAATCTCTTACACTCTGTATGTTTGCCCAGCTGCCTACTCAGTATCTTTACTTAACATATTCTACAAACACTTCAGATTCAATATATCCTACTCACTGTAGATATTAACTCATTATCTTCTCTCCGTCACTCATCTTCTGTGTTCCTCATATTACTGAATGGTACCACCATCTACTCAGTTGCCAATGTAAAAATATTTGCTTTCTCCTTTTTCCTTACTCCCCACATCCAAATCAATTACCATGCCCTATTCACCCCAGTTTTCGAAATAACTTTTAAACTGACCATGTCGACGGCCACCATCATTCCTCATCCATTTTCTGTAACAACAGCCTACGGGTCTCTGCGTCTAAGACTCTTCAATCCCCATAGGGCAGCCAGTCACGCCCTTCTAAGCCTCTCCTTACCAGATTAAAATTCTTTAGTGGTTTTGCTCCACCCTCAGGATAAAATTCAATCTGACTATAGTCATCCCTTTCAGATTTAATCCCTCTTTGCCTTTCTTGCCTCATTGTCCGAGACACCCTCCTCCAACCCTATGCTCTGGCCACGCCAAACTATTTACGGTTCCCAGATGACATCTAATATTTTACTCTTGGTCTTTGTAGGTGCTCTTTTTTCTCTCTGGAATTCTTTTCCCCTGTTCTCATCCTGCAGGTCTTGGCTTAGATATTGCCTCCTCCAAGAAGTCTTCCTGAAATCCCCAGTCTTGGTTGGATCCTTCTACGTTGCCAAGCCCTCTCTGAAAGGACCAGTCTGTCGGGTTCTTTTCTCTTTCAGGAGGCTACAAACTCCTCAGTGGGAGAGACTGTCTAATTCACGGTATGCACAGAACCTGGCGCAAGGTCTGGCACATAGTATGAGCTCACGAAATGTTTGCTGAGTGCGTACATGAATGAATGCACTGTCAGTGTGAAGGCAAAAATGGCACTATGGCTTATCCTCTTCAGATTCCATCATGTGATTCTGAATTTGAATGTGTATCCCATGCCCTCTTCCCTGGTCACCCTTGTGACAGCTAAAATTGGGGTCGTGTACATCTGAACAATGAAAAGATTTTTAAAAATTAAAACTCTCAAGTGTCCATACGACAAGGACTCTAGGGAAGTTTCCTAGAGCAAGAGATGCTTAATCCCATTGTCATCATAGGTGTCTTGATCATTACTCACTAAAGAAATGTGGTTCTCTGGAGAAATATTACTGAATTTGGCAAGGAATTTCTCAGCAGCATTTCTCTTGGCTTGTTTTTTTGATGCCCCCTTTCCTAAATAAAAAAGAAAGAAATGGTAGGTTTAGAAAAGAAATTAGTGTCCATAGGGAATAATCACATGTATAAAGTATGATTTTTTGATCAGAGAACAATTTCATGATTTTTATATACTATTCTTTTGCTGATCTGACATCTTTGCTTATTGTGCTTCATACAACTATTAATTCTTTTTTTTTTTTTAAAGATTTATTTATTTTAGAGAGCAGGAAAGAGAATGCACATGAGTGCTGGGGGGAGGGGCAGAGGGAGAGGGAGGGAGAGTCCCAAGCAGACTCCCTGCTGAGCACAGAGACTGATGCAGGGCTCGATCTTACAACCCTGAGATCACGACCCGAGCCAAAACCAAGAGTTGGGTGCTTAACCAACCGCAGCACCCAGGCGCCCCGATACAACTATTAATTCTTACATTTATGAAGGCATTTCTTTTCTTTGACATTTTATCTCTAATAGTTATACTTTCTGTTTTTAACAGGTATATTTCCCTATGCCTAGCTTTAATGAATCACTTTTGGTTTAATTCTGACCAAGTATTCAAATTTATCAAGGTACATTTGAATTACAGCTCTTATCTCTTGAGGTCTACTTCTTGCTTACAATCTTCTATAAACTGACAACTATGCGGAATTTTTCTTTAACACGGATAAGAAGGGCACAGGAGATCCTGCAGTTGAAAGACACCGTAAGTATCATCTACTTCCACGCTTTTTGTTTTACAGATTTAAAAACTGAGGCCTAGAGAGATTAAGTAATTTGCCTACCCTCGCAAATCAAGGTGCATCAAGAATGGACATTAGGTGGGGCGCCTGGGTGGCTTGGTCGGCTAAGCTTCTGCCTGCATTGGCTCAGGTCATGATTTCAGGGTCCTGGGATCTAACCCCATGTTGGGCTCCTTGATCAATGGGGAGCCTGCTTCTCCCTCTCCCTGCCCCACACCGTGCGTGCTCTTTCTCTCAAATAAATAAATAAAATCTTTAAAAAAAGAATGGAAGCTGGGGTTCTCACTTCCGGTCCAGTGCTTTCGGCATTGGCCCACACTGCCTCTCAGGGCAAACGGTTGCTTATTACTTGAAATAGGCATCTAACCAATTCCATTCCGTGCCATTTTAAGAATGATAGTAACATGATAGAGAAATTACAATAGGGACACTCACTTAGTACTCTATTAAGGGACTTTTTTCCCATCGTTTCTGGCCCTTACAACATGGACGTTGCTATCATTCAAAAGGATAATTTCTACTTTATTTTTATCTCATGCTATTTTTTTGCCTCCTAGTCTCTTATCATCTTGTTTTCAAATGTGATCTTCCTCTAGTCCTCCAATCTTCTAGAACAGCTGTTGAAACTTCCAAGAGATTTACTGCTTTTTTCTAAAATGACTTTTTTTTAAAAGATCTTATTTATTTGACAGAGAGAGACACAGCGAGAGAGGGAACACAAGTAGGGGGAGTGGGAGAGGGAGAAGCAGGCTCCCCACGGAGCAGGGAGCCCAATGCAGGGCTCGATCCCAGAACCCTGGGATCATGACCTGAGCTGAAGGCAGACGCTTAAGGACTGAGCCACCCAGGCGTCCCTCTAAAATGATTTTTAAGTCACTAACACATCAATGCAGGCTATGTAAAGTCAATTATTTACTTCTTTCCATTAACAGGCTTTTCCATGATTTTTAAAAATATCAAATTAAGAAGCGTAAGTATTCTTAAGCCAAATATTTACACTTAAATTCAACTGCAGAAAGAGACAGTAGAATAGGAGTGTATCAAGTTTTCTCCCCAGAAATATTTGAAAGGAAATCACAACAGAACTTTCTATGGTCATTCATCATCTGAAAATATTTAAAATGTCTTCAGTTGTATGAGATTAAAAGGAAATAACTACCAGTTTCCATAAATGACTCTAGCCTACAAATTGTGGTATATTCTCTCTTATGCGCAGGTCCTCCCTCTTGGGAAAGGGTATACTCAGGAAGTCTCCAGCCATGATGAATAGCCAACTCCTAGAAAATCGAGATGAGGCTTTAGTAGTAATTTTTACTATGCAATGGCTTAATCACATAAATGACACCCTTTCATGATTTTGATCCCATTTCCATTTCTATTTTTGAAAAGAATAATGATCTTCTGCAATGGAAAAATGGGGGAAGGCCTTATACTCCCCATAAAGATTCCTGCATTTTATATCTTGCAAGCCCACAATACCAAAACTGAAGCAGTTTACTGCTAGGATAGGAATGGTGTTCTTCCATTAAGCCATAGTAAGCAAATATCAAACAGCTCAAAGAGAAAGAGGAGCTACTATGGCCCTCTTGGGGAACATCTACAGGTCTCAGGGTCATCAGTTCCTAAAGCCTCTGCCTTAGTTGCAGACTTCCTGCCCACAGCTGGCTAACTACTGCACTGCAACAAGAGCAGATGAGCGAAGGCAGCTAACAGACTTGGACAAAGCTGAGGAAAGATCAGGGGAAGAAAACTCAAGAAAAAGACAGCAAGAAAGGGACCAAAGGACAGGCCGGAGAACGGGGAGGGGAGCTGTCCAACAGAGCACATGGATAATCCGCAAGAAGGATATTCTGCATGCAGAAATTCAAAGCTGATTTTTTTTTTTTTTTTTTTTGTAGAATGAGCAAATAGACTACTTCCCCTTTCTTGAGGTAGGTTACCCGATTTGGGTTCTTTATAAAATCTTCTGTGTCAACAGAAGTAGAAAGAGGTTTGTCACAAGAGTGGCAAGAAATATTCTTAAAGTATAAAACACTCTACCCATGTGCACTGGGGTCCTGTTGATCTCAAATGAGAATTCCACAAACCAAAGGCAGATACTGTATATGGAAGAAAATCCAAAACGTAAATAAATAGGAAAATAATTTCAAGTTAGTGCTGTAATAGCTAATGATAACTGGGAAAATAAAATATATACCAACTTATCTTTAAAATATTTATTCCTTGTTTCAGCCCTTGTCATATTATCAATTTATGACATCTTTCTTCAATAGACATAATGTTATGTAAGGAAAAACCGTGTGACTTACCTGTAATGAACCAATAGGGTTAAGCTGGTTCTTTGGTTGCTTAGAAGGGTCAGGCATTAAAGGGTCAGGAACTGCAAAGCTAAACATTTTTTTAAAATGTTATAAAACAAAGTAATTTCCCCCAAACTATTAAATAAATGACAAGCATTTCTTATTTAATCCTCTATGCCTCTGCTGTTCTCCACAGAATAGCCTTCTACCCCACCTCTTCTATGAGAATGTGACCTATCCCCTGTCCAAGGTCTAGCTCATATGCCACTTTCTCTAAGAAACCTATCCTGTTACGCTAATGGAACATAATTTCTCCCTCCTTTGAACCATTATTAACATTTAGGTTGACCCTTTCTTACGCAAATTATTTTACCATAAGTTATATACTCTTGCAAATACATGTAATTTGTCCATCCCTCACCACACCGCTCCTGCGTTCAGATGTAAAATCCTTGATGACAGAGCCTATGTATTACTTACCTCCGTAAGCCTTACAGGACTGTGCATATAATAGGTGCTCAATAAAAATGTATTTAAATAAAGCATACTACTGTTACAACCACACAAAAAGGGAAGCCTAATAATTAGGAAATTTAGCCTGGTAATGGGAATGATACAGATTATAAAGTTGTTTTTTCACTCAAATAACTATGGAAGACAAATCTGTCTGATCTATCATCTAAGCTAGAATAATCCTCCTAAGATTTATATGTATGGCCTGCATGAATCTGGTTCCTGCAATGTGGTGACTATGATTAGGGAAAAAGAGAACAATGTCTCCTAACTAGTTTGAAATTACTAATTAGTTAGGTGATGAGTGTCTAGCACTGAGTAAAGCTACGTTCAAGGTTACTACCACCTAGGCGACTGAAGAGTCATTTCTTCCATGACCAAAGAGGTTCAGTTATTGCCACTTCTTCAGGTTGCTTTTCCACCTGCCAGAATGTCAAGCTTTACGGAGGCTGATGAGATAGGAATATTCACTTACAATGATGCACGCCGAAGCTACCCAAATAATTGTGATGGAGAAGTGAGAGAGTCTCTGTATTAAATCAGGCCACTTTAGACCTGATTACAGCTTAGTAATTCCCATCTTATCTGTCAAGAAGCACAAATATATAGTAAAGTTTGTTAGCCTTTTTTGCTGACAAAGTGAAGTGCCCATGTGCAGAAAGGACACTCCGTATGCTCATTTCTACAGATACACTCCACACTTTGGGTTGACCTTTGGGCTGCACAGAAATAGCCTGGTCATCACCGGCGAGGGGAGAATCCAATACCTGCCGTGTCTTTTAGCATGTCTACAAAGCCAGCATAAATCAGCTATAACATAGGATCCCAGGGAATCAAGCACCATTTTGTGAGATTCAAAGCTTGTCAATGCTTCATTCTAAACTACTCGAATGGTTTGGAACGGCTTAGAAAGGGGAGGAGCACTGCATGAGAACCTAAGTACGTGCTAGACCAAAAGTTTTGAAGCTGGAGAAAAACCTCTCCTAAATTCCCCCGGCCTCTGCTGTCAACTCTGAGCAGGTACACCAGACTGTACTTTAGGAATAACTGAGTGCAGGAAGGAGAAGAACTTAAAGGCTCAGCATGCTCCAGTGTGTCCATTGGAAACCAAAGGCCATCACTCTAGAATACATGAGATGCTCCAGGACCAATACTCTCCAAAAGCACCTAAAGTGACAACCAACTTATTTTGGAAAAATCCCATCAAGACTTAACATCCCACTTAACATCTTGTATTTGGTATACATTCTATAATAAAAGGAAATCTCTTCGTCTCCTTCCAAATTAGAATCTTCCGAAGAGTATTTTCCACTGATCTTTTTCCACTCCATAACTTATTTTATGTAGTGTAGAAATTATTACACTCTTAACACAGGAAGATATTTGCCAGAAAAACTGGGGTTTTCTACTGTTGCATCCCACTGAGGGGGAAAAAAAGCCTAGTTCCCGAGAGCTTTCATTTAACAGTTAATTGCTGGATTGAATTTCTTAAGGATAAAGTTGTCTTTAACGGATGACAGGTTTTCACAAGGAAATAAAATTTTAGAGCCAGGTACTAACAACTGTTCACTTTGTTGCTTTTGTGAGCGTGTTCAAACTTTCAATCTTACCTCAGCCATGATATTTTTGAGCTGCAGAATACAAAGAAATTTAGCTCACCAAATACTTGCATTGGCTTTCAAAATGTTTATGGCAGCCTCTGCAGCTCTATGTTTCGCCAGCTTCTTACTTGTACCTTCACCTGAATTAAGGTTAAGAAAGAAATGAAAGTGTGAGGGTTGCATAGACATTTGCATAATACAAAACAAAGTCACTACAGTTTATATACATATATATTTACACACACACACAAAGTTAATAAAAATATATACTACATACTGTAACAAAATATTCCCATGAAATACATACATTAAAAACCCATAATTTTAAGTTTTATGTATCTAATTCTATGTATACCTATATTAAAAAATCCTTGTGTATATTTATTACATAAAATGGTAATAAAGTAGACCATGTCATACTTTCTGAAAAAAAAATGCAACTTAGTATTTTACTCTTCCTTATTCCTAGAGAGAGGGGAAATGCTGTAGCAAGAAGTCTCCTCTAAGGGAGCCACTTATATCAACACTGTTTGACAGCAAAATGGGCACAATTTTATTCCAATAGTCCATCCTATACTGCATTAATCCCCTCTGTTTGGCTAAGCAGTCCTGGCTACATGTTGGGTGCAGTGGGAGAAGATTTATATAGGGAGCGTGAGAGATGATGTTCCGTGTCTTCCATACAATCTATATCCCTTACCTAAGTAGCTAACAGGGTGGCAGGGGACAGGTCTGACTCATCACTGAACTGCAGCCTAATTTCAGTAAGCCATCACACCTGTTAAATGGTAAATTCAATCTTTTGCTTTCTGAGTTCAAGCTAGGTGCTGAGAACCTTTCAAAAGTGGTACCAGAGTGCTGATATCCATTTTTCTGGTGTGGGAGGAAAGGAATAGGATAATGGAATAAATTTCAACTGTAACCCTCAAATGTCAGGACATACAAACCATACACATTTATCCGCTAACCTAGGGACTTAGGGACACTGGGGAGTATGAAACAGAATCCCCACCCTTAAAGAGCACACAGCCTAGTGCAGGATTTTGTCTGTAAAGAGGCATCTGAAATACAGTCGTATGTGTGAGAACTAGCCTAAGTGCAGGCTGGAGGGACAGCTCCCCTCCTCTTGGTAATGATTCAGAAAGGTTTCAAGAAGGAAGAGATAACTGAATGAGGACAGAAAAGACTAGTAAAAGCTAGTAAGGTGAAGAGAGCTGGGGGTTGAGAAGAGCATTCTAGGCGAAGGAAAGAGCCCTTGCCGGGGCTCAGAGGCAACACCAGCATGCTGCTCTCAAGAGCCCTGAGCGGCTGGGGAGGTGGGAGCTTAAAGAAACGATAAAAGGCTACAGGATTGGGAGGGTAGGGAGAGAGGTCCAAGAACAGTCTTCTAAATTTGTGCTTCTCAAACTTTAATGTGCACAGGAATTGCCTGGGAATTTTGTTAAAATGCATACTCTGGTCCCGCAGGTCTGGCATGGGGCCTGATATTCCAGAGCGTTTGCATCAAGTGCTCAGGTGATAGTAATGCTGCTGCTGATCACGTTTCGAGAAGCATGGCCGTTAAGTCCTATCAAAAAATCTGTATTTAACCAGAGGGTGATGGGCAAACCACCGAATGGATTTGAAGAGCAAGAAGCACACGAACAGATCCGAATGCCAGGGTCTTCCGGGGAATGGACAGCCCGAGACTGGAGGCTGAGAGAGCAGCAGCGAGACGACAGCCGTGGTCCAAGTGCAAGACATCGGTGGCCCAGACAGCAGCAGCGGGGAGACAAGGGAAGCAGGCAGATGCCAGAGCTGCTTAAGAAGTAAGACTTGGTGGAAGAGTGGGCAAGAGGCAGAGGGAGAAGGAGGAGTCAGGAAAATGAAAGCCAACTTTCTAGTGTGAGCCAAGAGGTGATGGTGGTGCCTTTAGTGAGCTAGGGAATGCCGGGGGGGACAGACTTGAGGGAAGAGAGACGGAGTCAGTCTGGGACAACGAGAGACTGAGGTGCCTTTGGGTCATCCAAGTGAAGATGCCCAGCAAGCACAGGTTGACAGACCGTTCCATAACCGGACCTGGGCTGAATGAAGACAGAGGTTTCAGGATACTCGGCCTTTAGATAGCCCCTGAAGCTGTGGAGGCACATAAACTTGCATAGGAAGACGGGGCAGTGTGAGGAGAGCAGGGGCCCAAGCAGAACGGTTAGTGGCCATAGGTTGTTAATCCCTGGCCCAACACATATCGAAGGGAAAAGGACTATTTCTTTTCTTAAATTTTCACTGAAAATTTAAAAATAGACCTGTTAAAGGAGTAATGCAAAGATCCCGTGGTTCATTGTGAGGAGACGTCCAGCTAGCACCTACAATCCAACTGCCTCATCTAGATAAAAAAGCCTCAACATTTTCTTAAAGTCATTTCAAAGAAAATAGCGGACTCCAGATTTTCAGGGACCTAAACAAACGATCGATGCCTTTAGATTACCAGATGGTGCAACTCCAACCTTCCTGTTGAATAGTTTTCTTGGCGTTCTTCCGATTTAAATTTAGTATTATTTTTTGTTTGCAATTAAATAGATACATAAGAAACAAAATGCCTACATTTACAAATGGCAACTTTAGTTATCATTTGTTCAAGCTCACAGACCATAAGGGGAGTCTGAACTCTGAAACTTCATCGCTATGTGACTTTGGGCATGTTAACTGATAATTTCTCTGAACCTGTTTCCTCACGTATAAAAAAGGAGATGACAGGGGCACCTGGGTGGCTGAGTCGTTAAGCATCTGCCTTCAGCTCGGGTCACGATCCCAGGATCCTGGGATCGAGCCCCACATCGGGCTCCCTGCTCAGCGGGAAGCCTGCTTCTCCCTCTCCCACTCCCCCTGCTTGTATTTCCTCTCTCACTATGTCTCTCTGTCAAATAAATAAATAAAATCTTAAAAAAAAAAAGATGACATCTTACTAAAACCCGTACAAGTGTCAGGAACTAGACGGTGCTATAAAATATGGTATTTGCGCCGCCTTCCTCATTTTGCATGGATACAGAATCAAGGGTGGTACAATGGGCCCAAAGTGCCAGGTGAGTCCATACAAAGAGGGGAGAGGCTCAGAAAATTCTGGGCTCATGGCTCCTGGCATCTTCTATACTCTATGACACTATAAAACTTGTCAGCACCTACTGATCCAGCTATGGTCGCTCCAAGAACCTTTCCTGCTTCTCCCTAATTCTTGAAAGAACCCTAGGAAGATCCTAGGGTATGTTTCTGAGCTTCTCTTGGTATCTGGAGAAGAGAAAATTAGGGAGAGAATCAGATGAAGTTGGAAAGTCCGCATGACCTGAGATGAGAGGACTCAGTTTCAAGAGTCTGCTCCTTACAGCTGTCCCTGGTAAAAAGGTCACTTTTCCGAACTGAAAAACAATACCAAGGCTTGCTGGCCAACCCACACGATCATGGGGTTAACTGTGCATACAGACCTGTGCAGGTTATGTCACCAACGGTTACTCTGAAGGTGAAAGTGGGTACGTGTATTTGCACATCCGATCTTTCACATTCATAAACCGGGATGTTCTTGGTCTTCATGCCGTATTCGTGTAATACCTGAATTGGTGTTTTCCCTGGCTTAGCTGTAATCATCTTCCCCAAACTGCAAAAACCAGAAAAAGGTGTGCTTTGCATGCCAAAGCGAGGAGGGAAGCAGAAGCATACAGAGGCTAGTTTTGACTGCCACCAACACTGATGCGGGTGGCGCCGAACCTCCCCTGCGGCCAGCGCCAGAGATGGCGAAGCGCCCCAGTCTCCCAGCCCTGCTGCGGCGGGCAACCGGCAGGGTGAAAGAGGGCTTTCGGGAGATAACTTGAAAGCGGGTAGGAGGTATTCCCTGCGGTCTCCCAGGACCAAGCCCACATAACCCCTCTCCCGGGTAGCGGCGGCGCGCCACCTCCGCCCACCCCGCGCACAGCCCGAGGCCGCAAGAGGGGCGGGGCCAGGCCGCAGACCCCAGCCCGCGCGCGGCCGAGAGGGCGGAGCCGAGTGCCCCCGGGTCCGCCCGCAGCCGCGGGGGCGAGAGCAACGGGAAGGGGCTTTACCCAGAATGCCGCTGGAAAGCGGGATCCTCCGCCCCGCCTCTCGTGCCCACCGCTCCCGGCCCTGCCGGGCTCGGCCCCGACTATTCGGGCGCTGACCTGAAGGTCCCGCTGTCCTCGCGCTCCAGCGGCGGGGCCGCGGCGCGATGCCTGCTCTGGGACATAGCGAGAAGGGACGGCTTGGCGGCAGGCGGAAGAGTGGTGCGGAGCGATATCCTCGCTCCCCGGGTCGGCCGGTGCCCGAGAGGAGCCCTCCAGCGCCGCCGCCGCCTCCTCGACTCCCCCTTTCCTCCCAGCTTGCGTCCCTCTTGCGAAGGGGATGGGCGGAGGCGGAGTCTCGGTGCAGCAGTGCCGGCCACGCCCCCTCGCTGCCCGGGCAGCAGGCCATACTCCAAGCCGGGCCCCGCCTACCGGCTCGCCGGGCTCCTGGGCGCCCGGCCCCGCCCCTCCTTTCCCAGTCCCGGCTGCTCTGGCTCCCGCCGGTTCCCAGCCTTAGCCCCGCGGATTCCCAGCGCTTACCCCCCACCACGGCCTTGACGTGGCCGCAAGTTCTGCGTCCTTAAAAGGAGGCGGTTTCCGGCCCGGAGAGGCGGATTGTTGGGAGGCAAACCTCACAGTGTGTGAGGCCTGAGGCTCAGCTTCTTTTTCGGTGGTGGGGCTGAGGGAGGTTAGGGATCGGGGCTGCGTCACTTTAAGAAAAAGATTTCAGGATTCTAAATGCAAAATCGGAACGTCCCTGGACCTGGCCCCGAAGCTTGGGACTCGCTGTATATCCTCCTTGGGGGGCTGCAGTGGGCTCTCCCGGTTTGCGCCCTGCTTTGAGGAGCTCGCAGGGATGTCCGGGGACCCCCCCCCCCTTCCCTGCTGCCGGTGGTTTCCATTTTCTCTAGGCTTTGGTCGCGAGATGAAGGCTGGGCCCGCGGATCTGAGCAGGGCCTGTTAGGTGTAACGAGGGCTTTCTGTGGGATCCAATTAAATGCTGTTACTGTACACCTGTCTTGTTAGTCGTAATTGCGTTTGCCTGGGATGCACCACCTTAGGTGGGGATCAGACAGCGACGGTAGATGTGTCGCCTAGGGGTTTGTTAGCCACTTACAGAAATGACTCCCTGTGCTTTCTCTGTGTTGTGGAAGATTGCACAGTGCCGTTCACACAAAGGGACGTTATTAAAAACTTTTTTGGGGGTCAGCTGGGTGGCTCAGTCGTTAAGCGTCCGCCTTCGGCTCAGGTCATGATCTCAAGGTGCTGGGATCGAGCCCCGCATCGGGCTCCCTGCTCAGCAGGAAGCCTGCTTCTCCCTCTCCCACTACCCCTGCTTGTGTTCCCTCTCTCGCTGTGTCTCTGTCAAATAGATAAAATCTTAAAAAAAAAAACTTTTTGGTTTTTGGGGTTTTCTTGATTACACGAGAGCCTTGGATACTGGCAAGCAAATGAAAACAGCTGAATCCTGAATCTAATCAAATTGATTTATATTATTTGAGGCTTCAATTAGCCTATTCTGTCTTCCTCCCACCATCCCCTCTGTATATGTATGTATCGCGATTACTACCTACTATTATGTTTTAATGAGTATCTTACTGTAAGTTCACATAGCCACTTTTTCAAAATATATTAACATCCACATAACTATGGCAATACAATATTTCAGCACTCAGATTTGTTTCTAAAATTTATTTTTTGCCCTGATATCTTAAAAACAAGCCCAAACGTGATATAGCTCTCTTTAAAGGTTGAGCAACTGAGGTAATAATGATGAAACAAAATAAATGCAGCACTATTTCAAAGAGTTGTCTATGTGCCAGCTACAGAGTAAGAAACCCGTAAATCATAGTTTATAGATATATATGTGAGTATTATATAGTTATTTCTGCATTTGTATATGTAATATGGCTTTCATTTGTTATTTCATAAAAATCTGCGTACAACTGCTTCTCTATATTCTGTGAATTTATATTTTATATTAATCACTTGGTTTTGTAGCATATAAGGAGAATGAATGACCTGTATACTCTAAGGATTCAGAATAGCACTTTACTGTTGCCACAGTTGGCAAGGGGAAGTTGTGAAGGAATTCCCTTTGGACTAGGTCCACTGTAGATGGTAGCCAGGGCTAATGTTAGTGCCTAAACTTCATTGTTCCCGAAGAACTATAGGTTTCCTCAAAACTGACAACTTACTATTAACAGTAACCCTCATCAAGGACATTGGTAGTATTTTAAACTCAGTAGTTTTCTGCATATGTTTTAGTGCTTATAGACTGCAATTCCAAATTGACTTGCTCTCAGTGTATCATTTAACACCGTTGATCTATAATTCATTACCTGAGCACACCAGGAGAGGCAGTGTTGTGAATTGTACACTGGTAAGCTACTTGGTGAAACCATGCTTTGTATTTTTAATGTGTTCAATTATATTTAAAATCAAGTAAGTCTTGATGTGCCTGGTTTTCTTTGAAAGTATGGATTGTTATCTGAGGGTTGCAGTTGATGACGTCTTGATACCATATTAATATGTTTGCTGCTGCTACCAAGAGCTTTGTCAAGCAAGTTGGAGATGGAGGGAGATTAGTCCCTGTTCCAAGCCTCAGTGAGGCTGACAAATACCAACCTCTAAGTCTGGTGGTAAAAAAGAAGCGATGCTTTCTCTTTCCTAGATATAAATTTACCTCAACACCTTTTACACTGAAAGATATTCTTCTAGGAGACAGAGAAATTTCAGCGGGTAAGTTTAAATATCTGTTTGGGACTGACTACTCATTCAGCTATATTATTGACAATCTAAACATCGGTTGTATATACTAATATTTGTAATATTTGCACATTGATAAAAGCAACTTTTCTTATGAGAGTAGTATTAATATTAAGATTAATAATATCTAAATTTATGTAGATCAGATCTCTTATTGGTTGAATAATTTTCCAACCTATTTTGTGAAATTTATTGTATAATTTTATTTCAAATATTTTATAGACTTTTAACTGAATCAACTTAGAATATGACAAAATAATATATTTCTTCTATAAAGTGGGGTATTAGTCTTACCTATCTTTACAGGGTCAAATGAGATGAAAGTAATTTACATTTATTTCTTATGACTCAGTTATTGTAGTTGGTAAACTGAAATGTATTTTATAGGCTAGATTAGAAAATGAGTTGACATTTTGACAAATTATTTGTTGTAAACACTGTTTTTCTTTCAACCACTCACTGGATCTTACAGCTTATAGAGTTCTTTTGGTGGAACAAAGAACTTGAGTTCTCTTTTAAGTACTCTATTTTTTGGTTGTTGTTAAATTAATTGAGTTGCTATTTTATTTTTTTAAATTAAAAAAATTTTTTTCATTAATAATATTTTAATAGTATTATATGGTGACAGATGGTAGCTACATTTGTGGTAAGTATGGCATAACGCATAAATTTGTTGAATCACTATGCTGTATACCTGAAACTCATGTAACATTGTGTGTTAACTACACTCAAATAAAAAAATTAATTTTTTTGAAAAAAGAGTTCATTTTCTAGCAGGAGTGATATTTTGCAGGTTTTAAGATGTTAACATGTTTTGGGGCACCTGGGTGGCTTAGTCGGTTAAATGTTGCCTTCGGCTCAGGTCATGATCCCAGGGTCCCTGGATCGAGCCCCATGTCAGGCTTCCTGCTCAACGGGGAGCCTGCTTCACCTTCTCCCTCTGCCGCTCCCCCTGCTTGTGCACGCACTCTGTCTCTCTCTCTCTCTGTCAAATAAATAAAATCTTCAAAAATAGTGTTTACATGTTTTAACAATAAAGTCATAATTTATGTAAATATATTTATTGTTTTTTAATTTAAATGAGTTGCTATTTTAAATCTTGGCTTGAGATGTCACCTTTCTCAACATTTATGTAATGGAGTCTTAAATATTAATTAATGCATTACTATATATAATCTACGTTAGGTGAAATCAAGACATTTAAAAATATTGATTTCCTTTCTATAAAGGTATTTCATCTTATCAGTTACTGAATTATGAAGATGAATCAGATGTTTCCCTCTATGGAAGACGAGGCAATCATATTGTGAATGACGTTGGGATTAACGTCACTGGATCAGATTCTGTTGCAGTTAAAGCTTCATTTGGTGTGGTGACCAAACATGAAGTGGAAGTATCAACGTTACTCAAGGAAATTACTACAAGGTCAGTAGAATAATACTTAATATGCTTCAGTGTTTTCATTAAATATTTTAATTGTATAAACTTCGTTATAAAGAATGCTGAAAGCATTCAGGATAATTTACGTGTTTTATTTGTTGGAAAAACTACAATTTAGCAATACATCCAGACTTTAGATATGGGTAGATATCCAGAATCACTTGGTGTAAACAGAATTTTTAATTTTTCCACAAAATTGCTTTGGTCCTGTACCCATTTGCTAAATTATTAGATTAAAAGAATACACTGGGGTGCCTGGGTGGCTCAGTTGGTTAAGCAGCCGACTCCTGATTTCAGCTCAGGTCATGATCTCAGGGTCCTGGAATTGAGCCCTGTGTCTGGCTCTGTGCTCAGTAGGGAGTCTGCTTGAGGATTCTCTCTCTCCCTCTCCCTCTGCCCCTCCCTCTGCTTGCACTCTCGCTCTCTCGCTAATAAAAATAAATAAGTCCTTTAAAAAAAAAGGAATACACTAATCTGCTTGCAACAAATATACTAAGGGAATCTCTTCCGACAGGCTCCTATAATAAGCATGTTTTAAGAAAAGTGAAAGGAGAGGCAGATTACTAGTAGCTATTGAGCATATTTTCTGATTTGTATTAGACCTGCCTTGATTTACTTTTAGTTAAGGTGGACCATGAATGAGTAACACATGACAGCAAGAAATGTACTTGATTATATGTAATTAGATGTGACAGATTCTTGTGAATATCTCTATTCTTTATTCTAGAAAAATTAATTTTGACCACAGCTTGATACGTCAGACAAGGAGCAGCAGAAAGGCAGTATTGTGTGTGGTCATGGAAAGCATTCGAACCACACGACAGTGCTCACTGTCTGTGCATGCTGGAATTCGCAGGGAAGCCATGCGGGTAAACCACACTCATTAGGTTTCTCTCTCTCTCTTTTTTTTTTTTCCAAGATTTTATTTATTTGACAGAGACACAGCAAGAGAGGGAACACAAGAGGGGGAGTGGGAGAGGGAGAAGCAGGCTTCCCGCTGAGCAGAGAGACTGATGTGGGGCTCGATCCCAGGACCCTGGGCTCATGACCTGAGCTGAAGGCAGTTGCTCTACTGAGCCACCCAGGCGCCCCTCATTAGGTTTCTCTTGCTAAAAATGTGCAATGGGAATTTTTTAAAAAAGTACTCAATTTCTAAAGAGATGTGTGTATTTTGT